TAATCCTGGTTGGAGAAACCACCCAACTTTCATGGAGTAACAATGCAGGGCCTTCCAATCCAAAACTGATCATGCCTCCTGGTTTTCAACAACAAGCTAGACCACAAATTCAGAAAAGAGTCCCAATTGGAAGAACTCCTCTTGCAATATATATCCAAGACTGATGCAATAATTCAAAGTCAAGGCCTCCTGAGAAATCTTGAGACCCAAGTGGGACAGCTCGCCAATTCCATCAACAATAGACCTCAAGGTTCCTTACCCAGTGACACACAAATCAATCCTAATGTAAGGAACAATGCAAGCAATCCTTTAAGGAGTGGAAAGAAATTGAAGGGGTGATCAAAAAGCAGTTGAATCTGAGATTGAACATGTTGATAAGGAAGGAATGTGTGAGAATGAAATTGAAATTCAACAAAAGATGAACAAGGCTGAAAATCAAGGACCTCTCAGTCATCCATCCTTCACCACCTTTTCCCCAAAGACTTCAAAAGCAAAAGCTTGAAAAGCAATTTCAGAAGTTCCTCAATGTCTTCAAGAATTACACATAAATTCCTTTTTGCTGAAGCTTTGGAACAAATGCCCAGTTATGTCAAGTTCTTGAAGATCCTCTCAAAAAGAGAAGAGCTAGGTGAGTTTGAAACTATCTTCCTTACAGAAGAGTGTAGTGCAATTCTCCAAATAAACTGCCACCCAAACTCAAAGATCCAGGTAGTTTCACAATCCCTTGCACAATTGGTAATTTATTTTTACAAAGCTTTGAGTGATTTAGGTGCAAGTATCAATTTAATGCCTTGGTCAATTTTGAGAAACTTGGTTTGGGGAAGCAAACCCACTTCTGTTACTTTGCAATTGGCTGATCGTTCTTATGTATACCCGGGGAATTATTGAAGATGTTCTTGTCAAGGTAGATAAATTATTTTTCCAGTGATTTTTAATTCTTGACATGGAAGAAGATAGGCAAATCAATCATCCTTGGAGGCCATTCTTAGCTACGCAGGCGCAATCATTGATGTGAGGGAACGCAAGATAAATTTAAAGTTGGAGAAAGGTAGTCGAGTTTAATATTTTCAATGCAAGTAAACACCTAGCTCTACAAATTATTGCTATAGAGTGGAGTTAATTGATGAAGGCAAGGTGAACTTATTCTCCACCTACAAGTGAGCAGGCATCAACCTTTGAGTTTAAGCCACCACCTCCACCCATGAGACCCAAGCAGTCACCAAAGGAGCATCCTCCACCATATCTAATGCCTTTCGAGATTGGACAACAATTAATGATGCTTTCTCGATCATACTTCAAGCTTTTTCCATGGAAACTCAAAGAAGATGGTGGGTCCTTTCAAAGTAGTAAAAGAATATCCTTGTGAATAATAGAGATTGATAGTGAAGATACGGGACATTCATGGTTAATGGGTTGAGCCTTAGACCATATTTCGAGGATGAAGAACTGCAAAAAGGGGTGCTATAGTCAAGCTAGTGACTAAAAGAAGCGCTTCTTGGAGGCAACCCAAGATATTTTTTTTCTAAGTTTAGTTGTTATTTTAGTTAGTTCTTGTTTTTTCTATTTAAATAAGTAGTTTTAATCTCTCCCTAGCTTGTTGCTGTGTATGCAATTTGGAAAGCATGAAGATGAGGAGAAAGAGATTAGAGCTTTCAAGGAACTACCACCATTGATAGGGAAGTTTCTTTTTCTTATTCTTTTTAACTTTTCACATTGAGGACAATGTGCAATTTAAGTTTGGGGGAAGGTTTATTGTTATTATTTTGTGATAGTTTAGGTTAATTTGTTTCGTTATTTTTATACTAGATTTACTTGTGCCAGCTTCATTTAATTTACCTATCCAATGATGGAAATCAGTTATATTCCTATTTGATTCTTCAAAATATATGAATATTGTTTGAGTGTTATGTAAATTCTCATGCTAAGCTTTGCTATTAGGTTGAAATTCTACATGTGAGCACTATGTCTTTTCCTTAGATTTATTGTATATATTTAGAAAGTTTATGTGAATGCAAATTTTTGATTATGTATTATGTTCTAGAATTGTTTGATTTCTCTCGAGCGAAATCCTAGGCTATACTTAGTTAAGGAGATGATTTAGGCCATTTTGGACCGATTGAGCCTTTGTAGCCTTCCTTTACATAAATTATCCTCAGTTTCCCCCTTTGAGCCTAATGACATCTTTTCTTTATTTGAACACTTAATTTTTAGCCTAGACCCTTATAATATTTTCAACAATTTGCAGCCCTCATCCTAAGTGCATAGTCAATTTGAAGGTGTTAGAGCCACATAGTGAAAGAGGTAGTCAAGATGAAAAAAAAAACAATCAAAGTTCAAAAATATGATTGTACTCATCTCATTGCCCAATAAAAGAAATAAGTTTGGGGGTGTGAAATTGAGAAAAAGAAAAAGGGAAAGAAAGAGAAGTGTTGAACAAGAAAAATTTGATGGAGAAGGGGTATACTAAGTGAAGGAAAATAAAGCTCTGAATAGCATCCAGATTGACTATGTGCTTAGGGTGATTTGAGCTATACATTTACATACCAACTTAACCCTAGCCATACATATAAGCTAATTAAAGTCCTATTGATCTTTAACATAGTGTTAGCCTACATTAGTGGAGAGAGGATGAAAAGCAAACTTATGGAGTTAATTATTTTTGAATTTTGCATTAATATAAATTTATCCAGATTGTACAATATTCTAAGTGAAGAGATTACACACACACACGGAATTTAACTTAATGATGAGTTTGCATTTGAATTGAGACATGAACTTGAATAATATTTATGTGTTGCCTAGAGTTATGAATATGGATTAACTATTGAGGATATATAAAGGAATTCATGAAATGGTGCATTGAAGTCTAGTTAAATGTTTTCATGTTTACGTTATTGCATGTTGTTTTACGTTTTGCTCGAGGACTAGCAAAATCTTAGTTGGGTGTGATAATCCATTATATACATTATTTGACTCATTTTGGGAGCTTAAGTAGCTAGATCTTTGAGATTTTAGGTTCGATTTAGCATTATAGGTGTTTTTTTAGTTTAAGTTTGATTACTTGTTAAGTGATTAATTTAAAGTTATTTTAGTTAAATTTTAAGTTATTTTATTTTAAATTACTTTAAGAGTAGTTATTGCTAATTTCTCTTATGACTTTTGTAGGAAATTGATGAAAAAGCTCATTTGATGAAAATCAGTGCAAGTATGGTATAGCTTCATTCGTATATATTTCAGTATTTTGACCATATCTCTTTCAAAAAAACTCCAAATGAGGTGATTCTTAGACCAATAGAATTATAAGAAGAAGGAATACAATGTTTATGTTCACCAATTTGCCCAGTTCTGATTGGATCATGGTCAAAATATTTGTCAAAGTCGGACCACTGCAGTAGTATGTAAAGACTGAACATGATGCGGTATTTGGAGCAAATCTTTCAATACAGAAGTCCAATTGATGTGATTTTTGATCCATTGGAAAGTTAAGAGACAGGGATAAAACTTTATGTTTACTACTTGCCAGTTCTTAATATTAGGTCAAACTCACGTTTGAGTTGATAGACTGCCACAATGCTGAGAGAACAAGGCTGCAGCGTTGATGAAGGAAGCACACATACAAAATTCCAGAGAGCTCAGCGCTGCAGCGCTGAAGAAGTACACGCCGCAGCGCTGCGCGACTTTCCAAAAAAATAAAGGACATTAACGATTTCGAAAATTAGGTTATTTGGAGCCTATTTAGGAGCCTTTTTCAGAGATTTTGAGAGGAGCAGCAAGCAACTATTCTGGAGATTTGGAGTCAAGAACAAAGCAAGGAAACAAGAGTTGGAGAGAGAATCAAGATCATAAATCTCTAACTATAGTTTTTCTCTCTACCTTTGTGTTTTTCTTATTTTCTTTTTGGATTCTGGCTAAATTTCTTTGGATATTGTCTTTATTAGATATTATGAGCTAATTTATTTTTCTAGGATTGCAATTGAACTTACATGTAATCTAGATTTTTAATCACTTTCTTGCTTATTTTCAATGGGATTTGAATTGTTTATTCCAATTTGTTCTTAATGCTTTTAATTGCTTGGCTACCAATTAAATTGATCTAGAAACTAAACAACTTGGGAAAGGGAGTTTAGTGTAGACTAAAATTGGGATAGCATATGATCATATTAATTGATTTGCGTATAGGATAGGGATTACCTATAGGTCATATGTAGCCAGATTAGAGCCTGAACTTAATGAGTTTGTTTAATTTCAATTCACATAGGGATATAGTGTTTTGGTTAAAATAGATATTTTTAAATGAGTCGGGAGATCCTTATAAATAATTTAGGACTCTAGGTTAGCAATTCAACCATTGAGATAAGTTAAGGAAGAGAGGTAAGATTTAGATGAAGTGTGAGGGATATTGTATCCTAGGCTTGTTGATTTGATATTTATTTGAGGATTTATTATTTTGATTTTTCTTAATTTAATTCTGCTATAACTTAGTTTGATTTGATATTATTTTGATATTGTTTGGATAAGATTAATTTGCGATAATTTTAGTACTTAGTAAACTTTTAGATCAATTCCCTGTGGGATCGATACTCTACTTGCTAATATACTGTCTATTCGATACGTATACTTGCGTAGTAGAATTTTAACTAACAGATAGTTCCCTTACAAGTACAAAAAGACTTAATCTCATAGACAACTCTACCTTATCATAGTCTAGTTCAAGGTTAGCTCATAACACATGGGGTCAAAGCTAGTTATTTTGTAATCCATCAAGGAAACTAGAAAATTAAGCAGAATCATACCTATAAACTGATACTGATGTGAGTTAATTATTACATGAGAATTCTTAAAATGAAGAAGTTCATCCATAGTTCTTTTTCTGTTCCTTTTTTCATATATGTAGTTAATAAAATGACATATATAAAAGGCCACCACAAAAGTCAATTTTGTGCGTAGTTTCTTACATATTCTCTATCAAACATATTTAATAATCATGCTGAAATTTCTTGTCAGCGAGAGCTCAAACCAGGTTTTGATAAGGCTCTAGTGTAGGCTAAGGGTAACATCAGAAGTTTCTTAGTCCTTCCAACATATGCTCGTTTTGTCAAGTTATCATAATCGTTATCCTCAATCGCATCCAGGATCTTTCGATACAATAGCAAGGATGACCAAACCTGCATATTGTCCAAATGTTATTAGAACTAAAAACTATTATCAAACTCATGTTATATGTTATGAATATGTGCATTTGGCAAGGCTTAGTGATTGGAACATGTTTCTCTTACTATAGAACGATTTGTTCTAAACTAGCTATGATGCAAAACAAGGTGCTAGAATTTTGTGTCTGTGTATGGTGGATGCCCGACTGTTGTTAAAAGTGTATACCGGCCAGCGGCTAGCCTTGTCAAGCTGTGAGGCTCCCTCCTCAGCTAGATTGAAAAAGAACCTTGCCCTCGTAATTTGTTCTTTCATGAACTCTCTCCAGGCATCAGTTACCTTCCTGGACAGCACATCCTTGTCACATAAACCAAACTGTACGAGCTCATCTTGAGGAAGATAAACTCTACCTCTCGAAGCACTAACGAAAGAAAATCATGAGAAGGGAAAAGTGAGACAAGCAGGGGATTTGACCAGGTAAACTTAAATAAAGTAGGTAGCTTGTATGAAGACTTTACTCTTCTCCTACATCTCGAAGAATGTTTGTCAACTGATTTCCAATGCCCAAGTAGAGTGCTGCGTTGTATATACTATGAGCAGAAACAGAGGACTCTGGTGCAATTCCCATAACTGGAACACTCATTAGACCAACAGTTCCTGCTACATAGTAGCAGTAAAGATAAAGCTCTTGAAAATTTGTATATCGCGATTTTCTTGTATCCATTCTCATCCCCTCAATCATGTCCCTGAAAGGCTGTACCATAAAAAGAGACAATTCCCCCATTAGGGGCATTTTCCTTATGCCCTATGCTTAAAGTTGTACCTGGCATGTTAGGCGCAATAATCATGACCAATAATTAATTTATTTCGCTACATGCCAAGTATAGAGTGGCGTATAAACTTTGAATGAATAGATTCTTAAGCAAATGCTTCTGGTAGCAAACATCTTTGGTATACCTTGATGTCCAAGGGGAAGTTGAAAACAGTGTCGGAGAGTGCAGCATCGAGCATATCATAGGGGCGTCCATCAAAGATATCCTGCAGTCTCTCTTCCCACCTTTCAAGAACAGCAGAACTCATGTAATCTGCATTTGGCCCATCAACCAGTTCATCAGTCCTCCTGCACCAAACTGAAGAGACATATTTCAGCCACAAAACTAGTAACAATTTGGAATTAAGGAAGAAGCCCCTTCCTCCTAAGCCAAGAAAAACCAATTACAAACAGCATGGTTAGATGTGCATTTTTTAAGTTACTGCACATTCTCAAGCATTAAGATCTACATACCTTACATTCAACCCCTTTAACAATTTCCAAAATGTTGGAGTTTTATTCTATATCGAGCGTTGTTCTACTCCAGAACAAAACTATGACATAATCAGCTGCTCTACTTTGCTTCTAAATTAAATTTTAGCTCACTAGACAATCTGTAAATTTAGTAATCACCAGTTTCTTACCATAAATTGCCCATATGGCTTTCTGCCGCTCCTCTGTCATCAACAAGGTGCCTGCATCATATAATGAGCATCAGAAACATCAAACTCTAAGTGTAGAGATATCAAATGTCATTTTTGAAAGAAATGGAAATGAAAATATTTGTAAGATGTTCCCATTGGCAGACACGGTTCTAAAATTTAAAGCAGCGAAGTCGAATTGAGACTCCACTTGCAGGACTTGTAGAAATTTTGGGTAACTCTTTTAAGTTGATGGAGTGGAAGGGAAATGAGGTTGGACCTAGATAGAAAGTCTTGGCATATTCTGCACAAATGTTCCTACACTTGTTGTAAGCTTCTTCGAGGAACGTAGGATGGAACCGCGGTTTTCTACAGGTGCCTTCCTTCGCTAAGTTGTTTGGCCAAGATTGCCTTCTGACAATATCTTGTACTTGTAAATTGGTGTGGGGAATGCCATGCTTTGTCAATCCAGGGAGGGTGATTGGTATTTTTGGAGCTGTGATCACTTCTTCTCTTGCTGTTGTAGACATGGATTTTCGAGATTGTAAGTTTCCATTGCTGGCTCCAATGCAAGGTTTAGATGCTAGTGAAAGTGTTAGACACATCTGGCAATCCTAGCAAATATTTAGAAGGCTGAGCAGACCAGAAAGAGAGATTAAATAATAAATACTGGGATCGAAAAGATATCTAGAGATAGAAGAAAGTTATGTAGAAATGCCTCCTTTGTTCAATTGCATAGTTTGATACATAATCTGCATAGTATCCTGGTTTCGAATCTTTTATTTCACGATCTGACTGGTCCGAAGTTTGTTCACTAGTAGTGGTTTCTTTATGATCAAGTTTCAGCAAAATAAGTACTTCCAAACAAAAAAAAAAATTAAAATAAGTAATTAAAAGGGGAGATGCAGCAAATTCACATGGCCATGTGTACTACACTATATCAGTTAAAATATTAGAGATCTAAGGGTCATTAAAAACAGATGTTTCCCATTGATTTATGTTTGTAGTATGTTTTTGTACTTGTTTCTTTTCTTCTGCCAATCATTTTCAAGCAGCATATTGTGATAACTCAGATCACATCTTTGCTTGGGAATATTGAGTTGAACATAGATGCTAGATTTGTCCGGACCAACCTACCCGAGCATTGTGGGCAACCCTGTCCTTTTATGGAAACCATATGGGAATCTTGATCTTGCTTGATACCTTGTTAGATCCTTCACTTGGATTATGATGTTTATGTCCTTAATGATCTGGAGTCTAGTGCAAAACGCTTATTCGCCTAGGGCCGGAGCTAGACTTTTCTCTCACCGAGGCTGTCGGCTGTAGAAGTTCAAAGTTTTCCATCCCCCACACCACTTCGATAGTAAGTGGTCAAGTAAGTAAGAAAAGGGTAAAAGTAAAAATCGAAAATGTTCAATAAACTATTGCAAAATGTGTAACAAATGACGCCCCAAGAAACCATGGCGATAAGTGTTATATGTTGCTGTCATTATCTCATTTAGATTGGCTCATAAAGTACAAATAAGAGCTTTTAGGCATCTCAACATAATGATTCAGTCCATAAGCAATTGTCAAATTTTGGTCTGGAGTTTCTACTTGAAATCATGCTGACCAGTCCGAAGCAAAAATACCAAGATCAAATTATTTGCCTTGGGCTCAACCGAAATCCAATATTGAATTCCATTATAAATCCTATGGAAACCCAACCACATTGGTTAAAACAACAATGGCTGATGAAAGTGATGTGAGAGCTTGCAGCCGAGGCGTGGACTTCAATTATTTCTTCATAGAGGAAAACACATTGGAGACAACAGATAAAATGGAAGGCTAGCTAAATGAGAAGGACATTTTGAGAGAATGAACCAATAAAATATAATAGAAACCAAAAATAAAACAGATTCAAGTACAGGTTGATTGTCAAAGTTTACGGAAACAATGTGTAATGAACAAATGGGCTTGTTGATAATGGCATAACTGCATTGTTACATTAAAGTGATTGTTTTATCTACTGTCTCATTTCGGGTTTGTATATCCCTGGATGGTCGTTTTCGCAACACAACATGCCTTGAGAAGCCCATCGAGAACTAGGTAGAAATTTTCCTATAAGACCCCAAAAACCCCAAAAACAAAAAAAGAAGTGCATAACATCCTCCTTCTGCATAAAATATAAAAATTAATCTAGCCATCTCAAATTTCTTTTTGCCCGATGCATAAAGTTTGAACATAAAATATCAAACATTTAATTTGAAATGAATGGAAATATTAAGTGGAGAAGCCAATTTGAATATATTCACAACAAAATCAAGACTTAACTAGTATCTGACTAAAACAGTAGCTTAATAGTACATAACTTTTTAAGCTTAATTGAACCACCCATGAAATTCTTGAATGATAGTGTTTGAATTATACACAATTCGTGGCATAAATTTCAATCTAACTATGAACATAAGTCACCAAAAAACACATGTATGTGTAGAGAAACTCAACCCAAAAAAGGAAGATAAGAAATCCAAAATGTGAAATTTGTTATTTTACTTTTGTGTTGAAAGTTAAGATGTGTTATAGAATATAAATGTGTAAATATTCTTTTATTAATAAACGTAATTATAGGAATTAGAAATCACCATAATTATAGAGATTGAGAATTATCATAATTATAGAGATTTTATTTTCTTTATTTTCTTTATTCTTTTCCTAATTAAGAGATGTGTAGGCTATATATATAGGTGATGTATTATAAATGAAAGATGCTGAGTTTTCTCTTCCTAAATAACATGGTATCAAAGCTATTTTAGTAGATCTGTTTCCTTTGAAATAGAGTTCTTAGTTTCTCCTTTACACCCAAACCTAGGTCACCCATATAGGGTGACAATCTTATCCCATAGCTAGAACTAGGAGGAGACTCACCTGCTGATCAGCTTCTTCCTAGAACCTTGCCACTAGAGTTCCCACGAGTGGCTGTCACTTGCCGCTTTTAGTTTCTGGTTCTATTCTACACGCCACCCATCTGTCAGAGATTCACTCTAATCTTCTCTTCTAGTCTTCACGCTAGAAGGTTTTAACAAGATAGTTTGGTATTCTTGTTGGGTTTTGTTATTGGGTTTTTAAGATGGTAGAGTTTGTGCCAGAGAAAAAATTAATGGTAGTGGTTGATGTGATTCCTGTGATGACAAAGATCACAAAGCATAAACTTAATGGTTCCAATTATTTGGATTGAAGCAAGACAGTTCAGGTCTATTTAAGAAGCATTGATAAGGATGATTATATTACTAATAATCCTCCTATCGATAATACAAGGCAAACCTGGATAAGGGAAGATGCACGGCTGTTCCTATAGATTCGAAATTCCATTAATGGTAAGAGTTTTAGCCTCAGTAATCATTGTGACTTTGTTAAAGAGTTGATAGATTATTTGAATTTTTTATGTTCTGGTAAAGGGAATCTTTCTTGTATTTATGAGGCATGTAAAGTATTTTATAGTGCAGAGAAACAAGATAGGTCTCTCATAGCCTATTTTATGGATTTTAAAAGAATTTATGAGAAGCTTAATATTCTATTGCCTTTTAGTCCTGATTTGAAGGTTCAGTAGGCTCAACGGGAGCAAATGGCGGTTATGAGTTTTCTTGCAGGCCTCCCTCTAGAGCTTGAGACTATCAAATCTCAGATTCATTTTGGTTCTGAGATCTCCTCTCTAAATGACACCTTTATGAGAGTATTGCGTACAAAAACCTCTAGCTTCACATTGGCTCAGACTAATAACAGTGCTCTTGTAAGTCATCAAAATAATAGAAGTGGTAATAGAGGAGGGGGAACGGGCAATCGTAACCAAGATGTTGATAGTCGTAGTCAAGAGTAAGGAGGAATTATGTGCTATTATTGTCATGAGCTAGGCCATACAAAGTGTTTTTGTAAGAAACTCTAAAATAGGTTTCAACTAGGTTAATCGGCAAATGTTACGGCTTTTAATACTTCATCTTCTGATAAGACTATTCTAGTTTTTGTAGATGAATTTGCTCAATTCTCTCAATTCTAGGAATCATTAAAATCCACTACTTCTATCATAGCTATCGCTGGGTCAGGTAACTCCACTACACGTCTTATTTCCTCATCATTCAAATGGGTCATTGATTCTGGTGCCTCAGATCATGTGACAGGTAATTCAAATCTATTTTTCACTTTCCAATCACACACAACATCCTCCAATGTTACTTTAGCTGATGGATCAACCTCTTGTGTTGGTTTTGAAACTATTAATCCAACTCTATCAATTTCATAGTCCAATGTCTTAAATCTACCTAAGTTTTCTTATCTAATCTCTATTAGTAAACTCACTCGTGCCTTGAATTGTTGTATCTCATTCTTTCTCGATTTTTGTCTATTTCAGAATCTTACGACAAAGTGGATTATTGGTAGAGGTCATGAGTCTAGAGGTCTCTACTACCTTGACACACAGGTGCTGAGATCCATTGCTTGTTCAAGTGTATTGACCTCTTTTGAGGTGCATTATTTGTTGGGACATCATTCTCTGTCTTTCTTAAAAAATTGTCTCCTCAATTTCAAAATGTATCTTTATTGGATTATGAGTCATGTCAGTTTGCCAAACATCATCGTCTCCCTTCAGTGTCTAGAGTTAATAAACAGGTTATGTCCACTTTTGAGTTAGTCCATTTTGATGTTTGGGCTCCTTGTCCTATTATGCCTAAATCTGGTTTTAAATACTTTGTCACTTTTGTTGATGACTATTCTCGTGTAACTTGCTTATACTTAATGAAAAATTGTTTTGAGTTATTCTTTATTTTTTGTGCCTTTTGTGTTAAAATAAAAACACAATTGAATATTTCTGTGCGCACATTGCAAAGTGAGAATGCCAAAGAATATTTTTTTAATAAATTTCAATCCTATATGATTCAGAATGGCATTTTTCGTCAATCTTCTTGTATTGATACACCCTCTCAAAATGGATTACCAAGAGAAAAAATAAACATCTTTTTGGGGTAGCCCGAGCACTTCTTTTTTAGATGAAAATTACGAAATAGTCTTAGGCTGATGTTGTCTCCACAGCTTGTTTTCTAATTAATCTGATGCCTTCCTTTGTCTTTCATGGTGATATTCCCTATATTGTCTTTTTTCCTTCCAAGTCTTTGTTTCTTATTGAACTTAGGATATTTGGTAGTATATATTTTGCTCGTGATGTTTGTCCCTAGGTCACCAAATTAGATCCAAAATCTCGTGTGTTTTCCTTGGGTATTCTCGTCTTTAGAAAGGTTACAGATGTTATTCTCCTACTCTTAACCGATATCTTGTCTCAGCAGATGTCACTTTCTTTGAAAATACTCATTTCTTTTCCTCATCTTCTTGTTATGATAGTTAAGGGGAGGAAGATGATCTACTAGTTTATACTATAACCCATCCTATTAGTACCATAGATATTCTTGCACCTGATCTTACACTTGCTCGACCACCTATTGTCCATGTTTATTCTAAACGACCAGAGGTTCAGACCATATGCCCTTTATCAATTTCTTCGTTGCCAGATTTAGTCTCTAGTGATCATGAACCTAGTCTTCATCTCTTTATTGCTTTTCGCAAAGGTAAACGTCAGTGT